GATTGTCACAGATGATTCACAGAGATTTTGTGACAAACCTGGAATCAAATAAGGCTACAACCATGCCAGATTCAGTTCTATCAGGACAAAGGTTCTACTTGTCTTATTCAAAATGTGTCCTAAAGAGCCCAAACGGGTACTTAGGAGGTGTTCAGTAAATAGAGCAAATGTGCAGATCTCTGAATCCATGGATTTTCCTAAGTCAGTCACAACAGATTTTGTGTTCAAGTTCTGCCCTGACACCACCATGAGACTCCCACCAAGACATCCTGTCCCTTACATTAATTCAGGTGAATTTGAGTAAATCAATATGTTGCTGACAAAAGAAGGCTTTAGAATTTGAAAGAGCAGGACTATATTCCCCAGGGAAGTTCTGAGACTTATATTTTGAGCATTAGCTCAATAGAAAGCAGGACTAGTGCTGTGATGGAAAGGTCAATGCTTTAATACTAGGATTATAGCTATTTTTTCTCATTTTCTCCCTGGCCTAGAGCATTGTGTAAGCATTGTTTGTTGTGCCTCAAGCCATGCAGTAATAATCGACCTTATCTCAAGCTGGAGCCTCTAGATACTAAGGAATGCTACAAGGTCCAATATGGAGCCTGAGAATGGGTAAGGTTCCCTGAGGCCCAAGTAATATCATCACACCTGAGGGTTGTGGGGAAATTGCCAGGGTGCTGCTGATAATGGGAACCTACCCTGGTGTCATCAAGTACTGATGCTGCTTCCAGGACAGGAAATGTTGACTGAGTCCCATAGACATGGACACAGAAGATGGCTGAGGTGGCAGAAATTGAACCTCTGAGGGTCAATAGAAAAGACGGGTGAGAGGGGCAGTTCAGTGGACAAGGACACATGAGAGTGCCAAATGTCTTTTTTCCCATATCTGAATCCTGGCTTCAAGCCACCTGTGTAGTGAATAAGAAGGGTGGAAAGTACTGGAACCAAGACCACAGGGGAGAATTCTATACAGACTTGTACTCTGAGGACCCTCAATTAGGCCTTGGTTCCCCAAATCCCTTTTAAACCTCCGTAGCAGGATGTAAAGTAAAAGGCTTTCATGATAATCAACTTGATTGCTGGACTGTTGAAGCCTCACCATTTGACCTGAGCATGACTGCTTCCTGGAAAGCTGATCTTGGCATAGGGTGGACCGGGGTGAGGAGACTGTTGCTCCCCAGCATCCTGGGAAGACGGATCAGCTGAACCTCAGTGAGTAATTGCCAGAGAGTTCCAAACCAGTGTTGGGTAGTAGCTATGAGGAAATATTCACAGCCTAGCCCTCAGGGTAAGACCACAGCAACCCTGCTACAAGAGGCCAAGACATACCAACATATTGTCTTTACTCACCACTTTTCCTCCACAAAAGGACAGAGCTGAGTAGTGTCTATGCATGATGAACCTTGGTCTTGTGTCTGCACCCAGCCTTATCCTGTCTGAATTTACCTTATGGTGTGGTTTAAAGGATATTTCTGAGAACTCTGCCTTCCTGATAAAAACTCCCTGGGAGGCAACAGAGAATAAAGTTCAGTGGATACACACAGCAGTGGGTAGACACTGGCTAGGCACTAAAAACTTCCCACTCTTCCTACTCCCCAGGGCAGATCAGAGATTTCCGCCCCCCCCCCATTATTACCTGCCCTCAGGCCTCTGTTCTCTTCCTGTGGCTCTTTTTTTACAAAATAAAATGTAAAAAAAAAGTCAAACTTAGGCACAAATTATAGAGCCTTGTAGACAATTAGTGAATTTGTGTGGCTTAGAGAAATTGGGTAATGACATAGGTAGCCTTATAATTCCCGATTCTTCTCCCTTCTACACTTAGGCCTGAGACATCAGCACCTTTGAAGGAATGGAATTGTTGCCCTACATATCTGGGTCATATAGACATCAATTCTCCTATAATTTCAAAGACAGCCTTCAATGTCTGCAATTGGAAGCCCAGGGCTGAGCAGGTCCCCTTACACTATGTCTTCTTCTCTCCTTTGCCTGAGCATTAGTGAATACAGGGAGGGAAAATAGGGAAAGTGAGGCATGAAAGCTTAGGAGTTACCTGGATATTTGCTTCTGGGGCCCCCTAGTGGAAGCCCACGTCTCCTCACCACTGTCTTGCACCCTTGCAGACACTGGGCCTTCTTGTAAATCTGATCTTAGCCAGTGAGCTAAACTAGCCTCATCTGAGCAGAGTGTAAACCTAGCCCTGTGAGCTAGAATGGTGTGACCTAGGCAGTCCTAGAGGCTCAGAGGCACAGAATCTGGGGACATGA